TTTTTTTTTTGAATGAATTTTCGCTTACCATTGCCTTTTACTCGCACCAGGACCCACACGTACGCAGTGAGACACATTGTATAGCTCGTCCAAACGCCCCATAATCTGGAAATCTGGACTACTCATAATTATCATGGAGTGGTGAATAAGACGAAGAACATCCGGCTTCACGCTCACCTTTCCGACACTGCTATCCTTCCTGCTTTGACGTACACCCTAGAGACTTGGACTACACGACAGCAGGATGAACAACATGCCGTCAGAGTTACTCGATTTGGAAAGGGTAATGCTCGAAATTTCCCTACACACGCAAGTGCAGAAGGAAATCCAGAGTGCTCCGTCATCGAACGAAGATCAGGGACGCCGTTGATTACGCCAAGAAATCGAAGATCAAGTAGGCCGGGTTGCTCATGCGATATAGTGAACCGTTGGGCCAAGGCGGTTGCTGACGAGATCCATCGAGACGTCAAGCGAACACCAGGATAGCCACCGACGCAATGTTCAGACTTCTTCATGAAAGCACTGAACGAAGGAATGCTGAGTCTCGTGTCTCTGAAGTGAAGGCGATTCACTGGACCACTCTGGTTCGTGAGAGGGGCAAATGGAGACATCACTGGCGCCCGCTCGAGGAAGTCGATGATCAACAGGACGACAGGTGATACAAGTGATTCCTTACCAATGACGTCACGTCACCAATATTCACATCAGCGTTTCCATTTTCTAGCCCACTTCGTCAGGATCTCTTCTAGAAACCTCTGTCACTGTCAATATATTTTAGGTTATGGCCGCAATAAAAGAGAAATCGCCTGAACTCGCAGCAAAAGTTGAACAACACTATCAAATGTTGATGGATAAGATAAAAAAGCTCCCACCTCCAGCTGAAACCTTCATCATGGAGGTAAACATCCTCTCTCTTGAACGCTTGCCTCACAAACAATTCCTGTTTTTCAGCTTTGGCAAACTGTCCGTAAAACATACACAGAGGCCATCTCCGGTCACAAACCTACTCCGGATCAATTGAAGGCAAAAGGCGAGCAAATTATCAGTAAGTACGATGCGCTACCTGAATCGGCTAAAGGCGATCTCGAGAAGAACTTTCCCTACATTACCAAAATGTTGAAAGGTGAGTTCAACCCAACTCATTCCAGCTTGATATTAGTTGCAAAAGTTTTTGAAAGACATTTTTACAGACAAGGACCTACCTGCGAAGCTCGCCGCCCTTCCCCTGAACTAGATGGAAACATCTGATGTCAAATTTCGATGTGGTCATGTTGAAGGATAACTGTTCCACTAATTCGCCAAGTTTCCATCGCTTGCATTCAAGCGAAAGACGTTTGCTACTTTTCCACTTCACTTTGTACATGGAATGACTAATGACAGTACCGTTTGTAGGATTTTCTTTTGCGGTGTAGTTCTCCGACTGAATAAAAGTGTGAGACATTACCATTACGACCATTATTCATTAGCGTGAAGATGAGAAGTGGGTTAAGGTGTCAAACATCAGATTCAGTAAACAACGTTTTGCTGTAGTTATTATTGCACTTTCAATGTTAAAAGCAAAACGTGATCGTTTTGTTTGTTGAAGATTGTCTTTGTCGTGAAAATTTCCTAGTCAAAGAGAACGATAAAGGGATGCGTGTTTTCGCTTCAATAAGCTAGCAGCTTTCTGCAGTTTTTGACTCTCCACCGTCTGTTGACATTGGAAATTGAGTGGAATTCCTGCGTAGTATAAGAACACCAATGAAATTTCTGCATGACAATCTGCTCCATTGGCAACTTTGGAAAGTACTGCCCCATTGCGTTCCTTTTAATGGGTCACACAGGATCAAGGTCTACTCAAATACGGACTAATTTAGTAGTCCCATATTTGGAAACACGAATCTTTCTACCCTTACAGCCTTATCTTCGATTGTTTTTACTGCAATGTATCGTTTGAAAACCTTCTGCATTTTTTACTGCAATGTATCGTTTGGAAACCTACTGTATGGTATTTATTGGAATTATTAGATTACCGGAGAAGCCTTTACGCATTTTGCTTTCCATGCATTCACTGTAAAACAGGCCAATGCACTCTTACACTATATCTGCCGTAGCATTTCGCGACGATTATGATTGGAAGATCGAATCGAAGCAGGCTGGACTACTTCGCCTCTACGAGTTGAAAAAATAAATCGAAATCATGCGGCAAGAAACATGTGCGAGTTACGCTACACTGATTCTTACATCACGAAAACGAATTGGTACTACAAAACAGGGAATGGTCACCTTGACCTGACTGAAAAACCACGACATGGGAGAACAACTGAATTGAACCACAACCACCTTTTTAAGCTAGTTGCTGAGGATTCCAGGCGTGGTACCTGCGAGCTGGCACAGGAGCTTGGTAGCCGTGACAACTCAGTAGCTGCTCATTTGCATTGTTTCGGTAAACCTTGGAGATATGGCGTATGGATACCCACTGGAGCTGAGTGGCCGGTCACTAGTTCTAAACGAGAAGAGAGGTATGCCAGAAATTATTAATTTTTCGAAGAACCTTCGCATGCCTGGACGATTTAATCACCGGCGAAAAAAAGTGGGCTCTCTTTGTGAACCTCATGAGGAAGCGCTAGTGTCTTGAAGAAGGAAAGAATAGAATTATAACAACCAAAACAGAGCTACAACCTAAAAAGGCAAGGCTGAGCGTTTCGTGGAATTCGAAGGGGATCGTCCACTGGGAGTTGCTTCCACTGAACTCCATTGTCACCTTCGAGGTATATTGTGCCCAGCTGTATCGCGCTGCTGCATCTCTATGAGAGAAACAGTGGGGAGTCTGGCTTCTCCTATGCTCGCCCTTACATAGCTAATAATACACAAAAGAATGTTCAAAGCTTGGGATGGCATGTTCTGACCCAATTACCGTCTTCGATGATGTGAAACAACTTAAGACGTGCATCGACGAGTTTTAACCTCGAAACCTCAAAAATTCTACACATGCGGATCCACAAGTTGCCTGATAAATGGCAATAAGTTGTCAATAATGATGGTGTATATCTTTACTTACTGTTGGTTGTTGTGAGGGAAAAAGTAAGTTTAAAAAATGCAAAATGCGCAAGACGTTTCCGACAACCTACTACAAGAAGTTTCACTATGTCTCTTGCATGCGACCGAGTGCAAAACCCATTGAATGAGCTTTCACCACCCAAATGATGTTATGAGTTTCACTTCAATAACTATGCATATTGCAACAAAACTTTGTTGATTATTAGCGATTGAAGTGAAATTGATAAATTAATATTCCTGCCTCAAAAGTTCCCGAGTTTGGCGTCCACAGTGTTGGGAGACCGTCCATATGGTGAGGCGAAGGAAAAAGAAAATTAGGGTTCAAGCCCATCTTTCCGATCCTATTGCCCCGATTTCTATGATCATGAACTGCTTTAGCCATTCCCACACCTTGAACACTTCAGCTCTGCGCTGACATAAGCATTGAACGCGCTGTCAAAAGGAATATTACGGGAGCTTCTCCACACACAGTTGTAAAGGACAGATGGGAATCCGGATTCCTGAGCTCTGTCTCACACAGGAACATCTAGAACGATGTCGCTGATGCCGAGAAAACGAAGAACAGGTGGGACGAGCACGTCACGCGACCATGTACCCAAGCTTTGATCAACGCGGTTAACGACTGGAACCCACGGAATATCAAAAATACACCACTTCGGCTGAAGGGCAATAATTTTCCAAAGAAGTTCTGACCAGAATTGATGATTTACGGTGCTCTTCAGAGTGGAAGGTTTACTGGACTATATTGGTCACCCTCTTTCTTTTAAACAAGTATTCCAACAGCATCTGAAGGATGTGGGAACAACGTACCCCCAAATTTCCATGCATTCCGCACACATTTGCAAAAAATCTGCATATTCCATATTAGTGGTCATCTCCACAAGGTGAACGATCATCTATACTCCCAAATAAGGTGAATACGAAGGAACCGGGTCATCAGTGAAAACATTCTACCTGCAACCGTACCATTCGATGCTACCCCTGCCTTATACGTCTAGCATGTCCAAGGCTTTAACAATAAACAACAACATTCATTGAACTTTGGGTAAGAGGCAATTTATTGAAGAAAACACGGTGGCACTCGAGGAAGACGAAGAACCAGAGAAGTTGGAAAAAAGCTCATTCAGAAATTTAATGGAAAAGAAGCTCTTGTTTTCTGGAAAATTGTTTCCTAATTGTTGATCAGCATCCTCGCCACCATTTTGTGGAACTTCTTGCCTGTAATCGAACTCTTCCACAAGTCCTCCCGAAGGATAACATCCAATACTTACTTGTGAAGGCGTGGACCAATGTGGGGAACTGTTTCTTGAGATCATCCTGTGCAGCTTTGGGCAATGCCTTGTATCTGTCGATAGCTTTCTGGGTCAAATCAGTTATTTCAACGATACTTGGTTTTTTGCCAGCGACGTGATCTGCGTGGAGCTTACGAGTGATATCGTACATCTAGAAAAACAAGGTCATTATGGAGAGAACGTCAACTGCTGCAGCCACTGAACAACGTCAAACCTCCATAGCGAAAGATCGTGCTTCAGGACTGAGAGCATTCATTTTCTGCTGGATTTCGTCGTAAATCTTCTGGAGTTTGTCGCCGAGCTGAGGCGATTTCGCCTTCACTGCAGCTATGCCCTGAATAGCATCAACGGAATAACATTTTCAAAGTCTGAATTCGAAAGATTGTTTCAAGTACCGCTTCATCACTCAAGTGTTCTTCTCCGTACTTCTTTGCGACCTCCTCTAGTATTTTCTTGTCCTCTGGAGTGAGTGAGTTAACGAATTGCTTAACATCTTCGGGAAGAAGCTCTGAAAGGATAACTCCACTGATTCGTTGAAAGGCCTTGAGTCTTCATTCAACAAACCCCTGAATTCAGGCGGGACATCATCGAAGGTGAACGAAGAGACAAAGGCGATGCACAAGCAAGCAATGGCAGCAATCGGACGGATCATTACTGGAATGTACAGCAATTATTTTGAGAAGGGCAGTGCGTCGAAGAAGAAGCCATCACAAATAAACACTTTGGTGAGCCAAGGCAAAGACCAAGGTGGAAGTCATCGAATGGGCGTCAAACAGAGTGTGATGGAAGGGTCGAAGAGACGATCTTATAACGCCACCACTAGTGGGCTGCCCATCACACGTCGAAGAAATCACAATAACGAGAACTTGAAGGGTTGACAAATCAAGTGCTGTAATCAAAGGGAAATTATATACCGGTTAGAAATCCGTTTTTCGAAATTCTCTTCCATATGTCATTCCTTATATCGTCCAGTCGTTCTCGATTAGTAGCNATGAATGATGCAAATTATTTTCTCAAGTATTAAATACAGAACAAGAAGCGGTTTTGACGAAATCAAACTTGTTCTATAGAAACGACCATTATTCCCTCTTGATGGCCAGCGCTATTGATGTACAATTCTCATAACATGAGCTTTTTGTGAGAATTCGTCCACTGAATAGCAACGGTGTACACTTGAAGATGCGTCCTCTCAAAATTTATTGAGGTTGATTGCGTTGTTTATTTTGTTATTTATAATTGCGGTTTGTATGCAGTGTTTTCATGTTGTCTTCATTCGGACTTTTCTCTTTAACAGCTGCGTTTGTGTAGATGCAAATTTGGGTCAACTTCATAAATAAATAAGTAGAAAAGAAAAAAAATCTTGCGCTTTGAAAGATGGATATCAGAAATTAGAGATGAAGAAGATCCTCGGAGAAGGAATTCAGAACAAACAAAGTCTCATATATCGGCATGACAGTAACGTAAGTTGGGTTACAGATAACGCAACTTAACAATTCTTTGAGTCTCATGTAGAAGTAGTGATTTCAATGTTATCTGGGCCTAGTGTGATGAGCGTGACCCAAGCGTGATCCGAGTGCGAACCCAAGACCGATATTCGCCTGGGCCAACAAAGCAGTTCATCCCTCCGGGGTTTGTGAGTAGGTACTAGAGTTGTCTGGAAGCATAAAAGCACTGACCAGACACTGACAAAAATATATCGGCTGGCCACTGCAATTATTGTATAGGCCCCACACGCATTCAATTTGACACTACGATTCTGAGTGGGAGTCGAATACAGGGGCGCATCCCAACAAGGGATCGTTTCACGAAGAAGACTTCATCTTCTGTCCTTCATAACCACTACCATTATTGAATAAGTACTGATGTTTTTGTTATAATTGCGAAATTGCAACTTTCATTCCTCGATTGCTCGGTGCACCAAACTCTGTTCCCGAAGCTCCTGAAGGGACTCAAAAATAGGGTGGGGCCTACCTCAAGCTCCTCCTCCAACCCTGCATGTCTCGCGTGATTTTACAACAAAGAGAATCTCGTGAGAAACCAATATATCAAATACTTTGGAGCGAAACTGGTATCTTAACCTTCATGCGAGATTTTTTGTTGTTCTTAAGAAAAATATAGCGCCAAGCGAGCCGTCAAAAAAGGAGTGTTCATATCATCAATTTCGGGCTCACTAGACACGATCCCAGAAACCTTGGAAAGTTAGGAACAGAAAATGCACTGTGAAAAACTCGTCTTCTTGAAGGAACTTGAGAAAAAACGACCTATTGCCGATATCTTTATCTTAATAAAGAGAGAACTTACGCTCAACAGGATCTGACTCACAGTACGATGCATGTCGGACATTTCGCGTACTTCACAACGGAGCAGAATTTTCGAGGAGTAATTTCGAAAAAAAAAGTACCTGGTAGTGGTCAAAGTTATGGCAAAGTGCCAGTTGTCCAAGACTAGGCAAAGCAGGTGGGAGAACTTATCAGCTTGCACAGATCGAAACATAGAAGCGCGGGCCCCTTCTTCTAGCATCCAGCAATTTCTAAAGGGCCGAAATTTCCTGTGTTCTAGATAAAACAGCTGTTATATTTCACTGAAAAAAAA